CAATGATGTCACTGCTGTCTCTGTGGTGTCACCACTGTGCCCAGCGGTGGCATCTTGTCCCCATGATGTCACCAGACCCCTGTGATGTCACTGATGTTCCTGTTATATCACAACTGTCACTGATGTCACCGATGATGCCACTGGTGTTTCTGTGATGTCACCCCTGGCCTTGTGCAGTCACTGATGTCCCCTGTGATGTCACCAATGTCCCTGTGACATCACAACTTTCCCATTGTTGTCACCAGTCCCCTGTTATGTCACTGGTTTCCAATGATGTCACTTCTGCCTCTGCGATGCCGCCACTATCCCCAGTGGTGACTCCATGTCTCCATGATGTCACTGATTTCCCTGTGACACCAGGGCTTTCCTTTTTTTTCACCAGTTCCCTGTGATGTCACTGGTCTCCAGTGATGTCACCCATGTCCCTGTGATGTCACCTCTGTCCCTGTGATGTCACCATTGTCCTTGATGATATCACTGGTGTCACTTGGATGTCACCCCTGTCCTTGTGAAATCATTGTGATGTCACTGATTTCCCTGTAATACCACACCTGTCCCTTTGTTGTCAACAGTCCCCTGTGGTGTCACTGGTCCCCAGTGATGTCACCCATGTCCCTGTGATGTCACCACTGTCCCCTATGAGTCACCAATATGCCCAATGATGTCACTGATGTCTCTTTGATGTCAGCCATGTACTTGTGATGTCATTGATGTCCCATGTGATGTCACCGATGTCCCTGTGACATCACAGATGTCTCTTTGTTTTCACCAATCCCCTGTGATGTCACTCATCCCCAGTGATGTCACCAATGTCCCTTTCATTAGGGTTAGGGTTAGGGTTTAGCATTTAGGGTTTGAGTTAGGGTTAAGGGTTAGGGTTAGGGGGTTAGAGTTTAGGGTTAGGGTTAGGTGTAGGTTTAGGCTTAGGTTTTAGAGTAAGGGTTAGGGGTTAGGGTTAGGGGTAAGGGTTAGTTTAAGGTTAGATTTTCGGTAACATTTTGGTTAGAGTAAGGAATAGGGTTACAGTTAGGGATTAGGTTCAGGTTTAGATTTTTTTTTAAGTTTTTAGTGCTGTCTAAGATACCTCCCAGTCCAAAGGGGCACACACAGAAAACTCTTGCTCTTCATGTAGTGCTGAGCATGACGCAACAACTGCACTTGAGAGACAGAGGCTTGGGGCTTTCTTTCCCGGGTGGAATGCCAGTCTTTCTCCTCCAGGAACACTGGGCTGAAATTGACCGTCTGACAGCCAAAATTCCATGAGGACGAAGAAAACTCCCTGACCAAAGGTACTCGCACAGAAAGCTCTTCCTCTTTATCGCGTACCAAGAGAGGCACCCCAACTGCGCTGGGTAGATGGTGAGTCAGGGTTAGGGTTAGGGTTAGGGTTATTGTTTAGATAACATTTGGGTTAGAGTAAGGGATACGGTTATGGTTATGGGTTAGGGTTTAGGCTTAGTGTTAGGATTAGGTTAAGGGTATTGTTTAGATAATGTTTGGGTTAGAGCGAGGGATACGGTATACGGTTTCAGTTATGGGTTAGGGTTTAGGTTTAGGTTTTGGTTTTTCTTTAATATATCACAGCTGTCACCGATGTCACTGATGATGTAACTGGTGTTTCTGTGATATCACCCCTGGTCTTGTTCCAGGGGCCATTCAGGAATGGAGAAGTTAGACCATGGCATCACAAAAAGGCCCAGGGCACACGGGTGGGGCTCCACTGTGGAGATGAAGGGCACTGGTTCTTTGGTTGCCAACATCCATAGTCGAATGGAGGGGATATGCCCTGACATCACAAATGGGCACATGGTTTGGGCTACACTGTGGCATGTGAGCCGTTGGTTCCTTGGTTTCCAGGGGCCATTGTGGAATGGAGAGGGTAGGCTGTGAAATCAGAAAGGGGTCCATGGCACATGGGTTGAGTTGTACTCTGGGGTGGGATGCGTTGGTTCTGTGGTTTCCAGGGGCCAATTCAGAATGGAGAGGATAGGCCATGACATCACAGAGACCCATAGCAGACATGTTGGGCTGCATTCTTGGGGTGTGAGGCATTAGTTCTTTGGTGTCCAGGGCCATTCTGGAATAGAGATGATTGGCCGCAAAATCACAACTAGGCCAATGGTAAAAAGCAAAAGGCTGCAATGTGGGGGTGTGGTGCATTGGTTCTTTGGTTTTCAGGCATCATTCTGGAATGGAGAGGGTAGGCCATGACATCACAAAGGTAACCATGGAACACTTCTGGGGCTGCACTGAGGGGGTGTGCACTGCAGTTCCACCCAGGAAAGAAAGCCCTGAGGCTCTGTCTCTCAAGTGCAGTGGCTGCGCCACTCTCAGCACTGCACAAAGAAAAAGAGCTTTATGTGCAGGCACCTTTGGTCTGGCAGGTATCTTTGTCTGTATTGAACAGTAGACCTAAACTTAAAAAACACCCTAAACCCAAACCTAACACTAAACCTTAACCCCTAACCATAACCCTGTCCCTTACCCTAACCCAAACTTTACCTAAATCCTCTCCTAATCTGACCCTCATGCTAAACCTTACCCTAAATCCTAGATGCTAACACTAACCCTAACCCTGACTCACCACCTATCTAGTGCAGTTGGTGCACCACTCCTGGCACTACACAAAGAGCAAGAGCTTTCTGTGCGGGCACCTTTGGTCTGGGAGGTGTCTTTGTCCGTCCTGAATTTTGGCTATCTGTCTCAGTTTAATGAGAAGTGTTTTGCTGAGGAGGATGAATTGTGAGGAAAAACTAGAACTCCTACATCTAAGCAATTGTAAATCTGAAATTCGGAGGCTCCAATTGAGAAAGTGTGGAAAAAGGAAAAAAATAACAGCCCTTTAATACAGGATATATGTGTATTGGCAGAACAACAAAAGAACACAAAGAAAACAACCAAACAATAATCCTATACCCAAAAGTCCCCTTCAAACAAAAAAGTAAACAGCTCAGTTTGCACTTTTTTGGTGCAATTGGAACCACAGCCAGCAGGGGGCACTGTTGGATCACTGGAGGAGCAGAGCCTGCAGTGTTCTCTGGTGTCCAGCAGGGGGCGCTGTTGGATATGGCAGTTGCCATGGGGGGTCCCTGGAGGTGCAGGAGAAGCTGAAAATGCAGATTTCCCCCCCCACACCAAGAAGGGGAAAGAGGAGAGAAGGAGTTCTTCCCAAGAAAACTCACACTTTCTGTGACTGGCTGTGTGACTTCCCCTTTTCCTTGATGTGTATAAAAAAAACCCACTGCCAAAAACACAGGAGCAGAGGAGGGAAAAAAGGGTGACCTCCTTCCCAAGTAGTTCCTCTCTGATGAAGTCTGAGCAGGTCTAGGCTGGGGGCAGAAAACAGGGTGCAGGCAAACTGGAGCCAAGCGGCCAAGTTGAGAATAAAGAAACTTTGGAGCTTTTCCAACCCACACCTTTTTTCAGTTCAGGCAACAATGAAGTGTCCTGTTTCCCAGGAGAGGGAAAAGATAAGAAAACAAAAGAAACCCTCCTCATCCCTCCCCACAGACTTCGAGGACCATCAGTCTGGAATCTGAGTCCCTGACCAGTTCTTTTGTGTTGCTCAATTACCCAAGGCAAGACCAACCTGCCCATTCAACATCTCTCCCACAAAGTGGGGAAGGGGAGGAAGGAAAACATTCAATCCTCAGTTTCTTTTTTCCTTAGAACAAGCAAATGTGTCACACTGTGGGATGGCCATTTCAGCCCAGCGCTCCTACAAGAGAACGACTACTGTTCCACCCAGGAAAGAAAGCCCTGAGTCTGCGTCTCTCAAGTGCAGTTGCTGCACCACTCTCAGCACTGCACAAAGAGCAAGAGCTTTGTGTGCGGGCACCTTTGTCTGGGAGGTATCTTCATCTGTACTGAACCTTAGACCTAAACTTAAAAAAAATTCTCAATCTGAAGCTAACAACAAACCATAACCCCTAGTCATAACTGTATCCCTTACTCTAACAAAAATATTACCCTAACCCTAACCTTAACCCTAAC